ATTACGTACTGCGCTGTATTCTATATTCATAGACTATGGTGAACATGATCAACAGGTTTCATTTTGCTTTCTCCAGGGTTTTAAATTCAAAATACTACTTCTAAACTGGCTGCCACACAAATATAGACGGTTTAGGTTATGCTGTTATTTAACCCATAGATGGAGGTAGAAGAATAGGTTTCATTTTTTTTCAATGGACATGAGTGTGCAACTAGGCCAGAATTCTAACACGGCTCAACGGTTCCACTTTCGCTGCGATAACCGTAACAGTACCGGCACATTCTACATCCGATATAATCTTTTGCTTGTGCTATCATATCAGTAATCATAAGGTAGAAGGAAAACTTTGACTAAAAAAGGCTGACGATATAACCCTTTTCTCTAACGTGATACATTCTCATCGTTGTAAATTTCACAAAACGCCAAAATCAAAAATATTACACCATAATTCGTAATCCTTAATCAAGCGTGACAGAAAAATAATATACGTGTGATGCATGAACTTCATTGTTATCGAACGATAAAAATGGTCTAAGGATATCTTGTGCACTTTAAGAAGGTGATATTTCAAGCACGATTGAAAAAAATGGCGTCCAGTCTCGACGTCATTTTGTTGCTTTTGCAAACAAAGGCAAACGTTTTAAGTTTGTTATTGTTGCCTCCCCTGATTGGGTTCCTCTCCTACTTGACTCTCGCCTCAGGTTTTAGGGACAGAGCCAAAAATCAAGTGGCTATGCAAGGGAAAATAATCGATGGCATTTTCCCTGGTGTACGAAACAAGTATGATGTCTTCGTTACTTCTTAATCTTTCCTTGTTCGCCTGGCCGTGAAGAAATGGTAAGCATTAAAAATAGAGCTCGCTTGATTCTCATCTTAGTGCCATAGAGTTATCGCTTCATGCCAGATCTGAGACAAGCTTAAAGGATAGTGTGGAGCAAGTCAAGCTCCCTAACCATTCATCCACACAGATTGTTGCTTGGTCGATTTTATGAAATGTCATACATTGCTGGGTTATTTAATATCGAATTAGTCAACCAGACCTAGGCTTACTAACCATTACGCCTCGCTGAGGCGCTCATAAAGCCAAGCAAACTGAGAGTGAGTATATATATATATATATATATATATATATATATATATATATATATATATATATATATATATATAGTAGTTAGTTAGTTAGTTTATGAAAAACTAAGCAATCCGTATGGGTAGACCCAAGGAAGATAAAATCCAGAGAGCTCAATGTAAATCCAGAGCAAATAATGGCAATTCTCATATCATAAATGAAAGTCTGTTTTTACTTAAATTATATATATATATATATATATATATATAATTAATCCATAGAGTCTAGAAGAATCCTCAACAGAATGTAAAAAGCTCTAGACGGCCGTTTGTTTCTATTTGGGACTCATCAACAGTGCGCATCCAATACCAAGATTTCAGTGTTTTTATATATATATATATATATATATATATATATATATATATCCGTAGGTATGTGCATCCGAATACGGTTATTTGTATCTATTGTATAGTGTTGTTTGTTAACTTTTTACTCATTATTTATTATTGGATGCTTAATTATTTGCTGTTGATTATTATTATTAAATTTATTGGAGAGCTAACAATTCATGCATAGCGTGTATTAGGCAAGTAGGTCTGGCGGCGCCTATCCCTCTACATGTAAAACTATAGCCAAAGTCTTCCAACTTGAAGGCCCACTTTGGTAAGAGACACGTGACCATTGATTCCATCATGGGAACCGTTCATCCTGGCTGTTGATTCCAGTCTATGCAGTCCATCTGCTCAATGATGTCGTGTCATCTCGGCACTAGCTGTATACATCGCTATGGAGACCAGTCTGCATCATTGTGCTAAATGGACGTTGACATCATAAAAAAATCATCCACCCATTGATGGTTATTGTTTTTAATCATTCTTGATATCAAGCCACCTTTCTAAACAAAAAAAGTTAGTGGGGAAACCTGGTTAGTCGCCGATGACTCGATCAAGCGGCAGCTGGTACTGGGTTACATGGTACGAGTGGCACTCGTAGAATTGCCTGACACGTAGAAGCTACGTAATGTTAATGTGTTATGTAATTGCACTTTAAAATATCTTATATAGGTTATACAACAACTACTCTTTCTCGTAAGCTGATATGCCATTTATATTACCAAAGTGTTATTAAGCAATGCATTAAGACGTGCCACAAGAATTATAATGATACCAGACAGCTCCTCTTTAACAATACTAATTTTCTCTATAAATCCAACAGCAAAAAATAAAGATTATTAAAGCTATTCACATTCATCATAAGTAAATGTCCATAAATAAATGTAACTATGAAATTTGGTTATTTTATACTTCAACGACAATCGGATTTGAGGCAAATATCAAAACATTTAATAAACATGAAATTCATGTCTGCAAGAACAATTTCTGGCAAAATTGACTGAATTCTTATAAAAAAAAAATGTCGGTCAGTTAGTGACGTGCCATGCTTGATACACGCTTAGGCAATCATGTATTTTTCGATACATGACTGACGAGTCAGATTTTTTCCTGCAGTAGGTTGCCATTTCTTTCTGCGGTAGACTAGTTGCCAGCCAAGGCTATAGAACCCGGTATATCCTGCTATTTACCCATAGCTGTAGGGAGAAAAAGAGGATTTATACTTTCCCCAAGGGTATTAGCACGTAAGTGAATGCAGTAGATTCGACTGGAATTCGAACTCGGCCTCCGATTCCTCAATCCGAGTCGCTATCCATTACGCCACCGTGTATATACATTCACATATAACTAAAGTTCATGCCTAGTGAATTTATACATTGAAGTATTCATTTATAAAACAGAACCTGGGATGCGTAGCTTTGAAAAAAAATAGACGACCCCTCTCAGCGTCATGCTGTAATCAATCCGTCTTGTGAAACGATTGTTGATCAACAGCTTTATCATCTGAGCCAAGATGTTGACGAGGAGCTGGATTCATAGCTTATCCTATTGTCCTCGTGATCACAGCTCCATCTTTATCCATTAAGGGGATTTGGCGGTAAGTGGATTTAGGTCGGATTGTTAGTGTACTAGTGAACATGCCCTGTCTGGATGTAATCATGAATACAGAATCTATTTGGGCTTTTTGAATTGAACAAAAATAGCAATATATAAAGTCAGAATTCGTAATCTTCCGTACGTATCTACTGAATGAGACCAACAGCTAATATACGCATTTTTTTTTTGCTCTTTTTATTTATTTTTTTTTTTTTTTTTTTTTTTTTGAACCACAAGATTTTTGTCCCAAACTAAAGTTTACTGTTTTGTCAAGATTCTTATGCATTAGAACCGATTTTAAAAATTATCGCTGCGATTTATTTCAATTATGACAAAGTTTATCGTGATTTAATAGGTGCAGATTTTCCCGTTTCTTAATACTTTGCTTAGCTTTTGGAAGGCATTTTCGCTATCCTAAATGCGCCTTCGGAATACAGCATCGCACATTCAGTCCTCTATTTAAACACTTCGCAGATAAACAGGGAAATTTCGTCAGAAACAAAGAAAAGGGTATTGGACTATTACGTAATATCAGTTCTCTTCTATGGCAGTGAATGCTGGACAATCTCCTTGCAGATGACGAAGAGGCTTGAAACAACAGATATGGTTTTACAGAAGGATGCTGAGAATACCATGAAGCGAACATGAATCTTTAAAAATGGAAACAAAACGATCACTTTTATTTAACATCAGAAAGAGACAGTTGAAAATTCTAGGGTGCATAATGAGAAAAGAGGGCATCGAAAATTTGATACCCATAGGACAGGTTTATGACATGTCATACATTGCTAGGTTATTTAATATCGAATTAGTCAAACCGACCTAGGCTTACTAACCATTACGCCTCGCCAATGCGCTCATAAAGCTAAGGAGACTGAGAGTGAGTATATATATATATATATATATATATATATATATATATATATATATATAATTATTTTATAATTATTTTGGTATATATATATATATATATATATATATATAATTAATCCATAGAATCTAGAAGAATCCTCAACAGAATGTAAAAAGCACTAGACGGCCGTTTGGTCCTATTTGGGACTCATCAACAGTGCGCATCCACTACCACGATTTCAGTGTTTATATATATATATATATATATATATATATATATATATATATATATATATATATATGCTCAATGATGCATTATGGGTAACAAGGCATATTATATAACCTAGCGTTTATTGGGAAGGCGGTAATGGTTATATTTCAAATTATTCTAGAGGCTATTGAGTATAAATTACTGTGGATCCGAATATCTATTGTATAGTGTTGTTTGTTAACTTTTTACTTAATATTTATTATTGGTCGCTTAATTATTGAAACAGAGGATAACAACACATAACCCACCCTAGCGAAGTTGAGTAAATGGATGGCAGAACCGGGCTTAGGGTCGATAACAAATATACAAAATGTATCAAGCACTTTTTTCTTATGCACTCTGTCTCGCCGAAGTTTTCCTGATTTTTAGGAAAGTAAAGAATACATTAATTAATTATCGATATTTTTGTTTCGAGAAAATCTGAACAAGTGAATGCGCTTTAAAGCTTGCTCGTGAAGCTCTTCGTAGCCGAACGATCAAAGCACGTCGGATAAAAAGGATTTTTCTGCAGGTTTGAATCCTACCAGAACACACATTTTTTAAATAATTTTTCTCAAGTTTGCAGGTGTGTAGATTGAAATAAAATACTGTTTAAAATAAACATAGGGACTATCTGAAATACAGGTATTGACTAAAAATAACGTTTGAAGTCATAAAAATTAAAAATGTCGGATTAAAAAATAGAATCTATTAAATGGGACAACGTTACTATTACGAGGTGGCACTAGTTTTATGGATTTTACTGGATTTTTTTACATAATTTTATTCTTTATTCTATGAACGTTTTTTCGCCTTGCACCGTTTTCTTTTAATTTTAAAGTAATTACGAAAGGACAATGATCAGTATCTTTACTTTATTTTTCTTTCATTCCTGTACAACTTTCATTGAATTCTTCTTTTTTCTTTCTTTTCTCCTTTCATTTCTTTACTTCTTTCATTTCATGCTTTTTTCCCCCAGATTTTATTCATTTTCTAGACATTTTATTTCATATATCTTTCTTTCATTCTTTTTTTCCCTTCTTTCCCTCAAATGGTATTTCCTTCTCGATTCTTGCTAGTACCAGGCGGTAACATTTTCTGAGACGTTGGACACCTTTATAAACCTGTAAGCCATTTTTAAGTTCATCACTCGTTCGCCTCACCGATAAAGAAGTGATCCATCTTCACGTGATTCTTAAATCTGTCAGTTTTCGCTCCATCTTATGCAAGACTCGTATCGAATTTAATTTTGCTCGCTCTGTGCCTATTCTGTGTTTGTTATAACAGCCAACACATGATCGATATTATTAAGTGGAAATCACTCGCTTCATATTACTCGCTTGGTATTGTCGTGGTGAAAATACTGTAGAAATTACAAGTTTCAAGATCAGTGAAGGAAGTCAAAATTATTAAACAAAGAAAATGAACTGGATATAAGTATTCAGTTATAGATGAAGAGGTTTAAAATTTTTCCCTTAGGAAAATGGTCACCTGAAGAAAACCAGTAACTTCGTATAACGCTCATAGTTCTGGTTAATAATACTGTAAGGAAAAATGGAGCAAAACTTTGAGTGAAAAACAGATTTAATCACATGAAAGACATGGATTAATAATACAGTAGAGAATAGCGTAGTTCAGTGTGGCAATGCGTACGACTCAACCGCTACGACTTGCGACCCATTTTGCGACGACCATTCCTACGAGCAGACAATCTTCTCATAGCTGATGGACGAGTCCATGTACAAGAATTAGTGTAGAGAAGGCCGGCCGTCTATCTACACAACATAATATATAAGACCTAAACAATAAAACAATATACGTTAGGTCAATAGGTTACATTTTTGAATCTTTCTATAGCAATATGAAATGAGATAATTTCTTGTCAGGAAGTCTGGAATAACGAATTATTATTTACATTACTTATATGCGGAACGTTGTCCTCATCTTTGTTGTTAGCACAACGTTTCAGCTGTTGTGAGATCCAGCCTTCATCAGGCGTATGCCGACCGACGATCCATATAAACCTCTGGCCTTCATCAGGCGTATGACGATATACACCTGATTAACGTCGGAGAGCAGAACAGCCGAAACGCTGGAATAACAACAAAGACGAAGACAGTAATGTAAGTAGTCTAATGAAATGAGATATTTATTTTACTTAATGAATTCATTACAATAATTTCTGATTATCCCATATTTAAAAGTATACTCATATCGGTGTTTGCATTTCTATAGGTTAGAACTCCTAATTAGTAAGCTTAGTCTGACACAAGGCTACAAATATAAAGCACCTAATGAGTTTCGAATTTACTACTAATGGTGAACCATTGCGCCATACCGAGGTGTCCATTTGTGTATACAAAGAGCTATTGAGTACAATATCTTCAGAAATTTTGCACGAAGCCCCGATGTATATACTTTTACCGGCGAAAAGAGGGAAATAGGCAAGACAAGTTTCAATTACTATGTGTTCATTTTTGCGCAAATGTCCCCTGCCCCTGGGAAAATGTATACATTCAATTTTTTTTATGTTTTTTGGGTCTATAATCTAGTTGATTCCATTTTTTTTTTAATATAATAATTTTAAATTTTAAATTCCCAGCGTCTCTCTTTCTCGTTCGTGCGCATGTGCAGTGACATCAACGTAAACAAAAACTTAGTCCTAAGAAATGAAACGCGTTACACGAAAACTTTTTCCCCTCTGTCTTTCTTCTTTCCCCTAAAATTCTCTTTTATGTAGAAAATAGTTTTCCTTATATATTTTTTTTTACAGGAAAGGACAACTACGGCGATTTTAATTTAAAAAATAGTTTCCCCTTACCTTATCGCACAAATAGTGATCGATAATGCTGAGATTTTGATTGATATTTTTTACGCGACCTAAAACATTATTATTATTGAATATTGTCGAATCGATAAAATCGATTATCGGAATGACTGGGAAGATTTATACTGACTAATATTATTGATTGATTGGTTGAGGATATCAGGTTTTATATGTCATCGGAAAGTATAAGCCATAATTTTGTCATATGTAGTTTGTGCAATATATATATATATATATATATATATATATATATATATATAAAAAAGGCTTAAACACTAATATTCCATGGTCATAATTTATTCCATTGGAATCGTAAATACGATCCAATATATCAGACCTACAAATTCAAAAAGAAAACAGAAAAAAACAACTCCGGGAGTAAAAAATAAAATTTTGTGAAAGTGTATGTATGAGAGTTAAATGTTAGAGTACATGAAAGCTATATTTTAGATATATGATTGCATATGTATGTGCATATTTACCACTAAAATTATCAATATATATATATATATATATATATATATATATATATATATATATATATATATATATATATATAAAATGAAAAGACAATAGGAAAACTATACTTAGTTTAGCCAACGCGTTTCGTCATTCAACGGACTGTATCAAGGCAAATCTGCTGGTTTTATCTTGCAGCAAGTATATATTTGACAATTACTCAAAATTTCAACTTTAAGAACGCTCATGAATATTCAGCGAGATAATTAAAAAATTTAGATATTAGATCCTAGATTACGTCATATTGCATCTTTGAAAGGAATTTTTTAATTTAAAGACGCTCAATAACAAGTTAACTGAAATGTCCAGGTATTTAAACCATAGAATACGTCATTTACTATACTCGAAAAAGAATAACGAAAGAAAGAAAAGAAAAAAAAAGAAAAGGTTTCTTGAATTGAAATATGAGAAGGACGTTTGTATTATGCATCTCCAAAAGTTGAAATGATGGATTCAGCCATTTTCCTTTGATTTTTCAACACATTTGTTGTATATGTTGGCTTGGGAAAGTAGTCATTTTTCCTTCAGGAATAGTGAGATTGGGAAAAGGCCGAGGCGTAGATTGATATTTTGATAATATTCGACGGCGGCATTCTCGAGGATTTTCCTTCTGAGTAAATTACTTTCTCTTGATGAGTGTGGCATTTTTTAGATCAAAGTTGTGGACGAATTTATTTCTATGTGTGACTAGTGAATTTGTTAAATTATTATTTATAAGGTTTCTCTTTTGTTCATAGGCACTTTTAAAAAAATGTCTGCTTGTTTCTCCAATGTATTGTTAATAACAGCCTAGTTTATTTTATATATGTGCCTTTCCCAGAACTATTACCGATATGGGTGTTTTTAGATATGACTACATCCATGATGGTTTTGGAAGTGGTTGTAACTATTTGGATGTTGTTTAAATGAGAGAAGGTATTTTGGATAGTGGATGGTATAGAATTCGTAGCTAGTATTATGTATCTATTTTTGTTTATTTTTGTTTATTGTGGATAATGTTATAAATATTAATGTACATTTAGGCAGCAACCTTTCTTTGGTAAATATGACAGACAAGGAAAATTTAATTTTTTATTTAGTTTTTATAGCGTCCTTACATTTTTCCGTAAGGGAGTACAAAAAGGTGTTGTTGATTTCTATTCATGTTTTGACTGTTTAAGATGAATTTTATTTTTGTGTGGTTTTGAATACGAGGAAGAACGTTTAATCCGAGCTTTTGCAGGTTTAGTGGGCTGGAATTCGAAATAAATCATTTTTTAAAATCTTTTCAAACCTCCATTCCCACTGTTAAATAGAGTGAGATTGAGAGAAAGTTGTTTAATGTACAGGGTCTCTCATATAGCGAGATGTTTCCGGTAATGTGATAGATAGATAGCTAGCTAGATAGATAGCTAGCTAGCTAGCTAGCTAGATAGATAGATAGATAGATAGATAGATAGATTTATCAAGCCAAAGTTTTCATAATAAAATTGAAATTATCCAAAAGATGTTGGTAGTGTGTCATGCATTTCTAAAATTATATATACAAGGCAATAGAACAAGTTGAAATATTCTAGTATATTTAAGCGAATTTTGGTCGCTTATAATGACAGGAATGTAAAAGCAGTGCAACGAATTTCGGCGCGGAATTTTAAATCATCGAGCAGAGTTCAAATTCCGTCCTTATATCCTGCGTTCACGTTCACACAGATGTCCGTCGGAAAGGCATGAATCTGTCTATTCTCTTCCCAACAGGACAACAAAAATATGTATGAATGATTCATGTAATGTAAATTGAACTGCACCACATACTTGATATTAAAATAACTGATCCAACGTGCAACTTTCGGATAATAATTGTGACATTCCTGTATTTATTGACAATTTAGTTTATGCCACATTGACTGAAAAACCTACCAGTACAAAAGAATTCTCCTATTACCATATTAGTACAAAAAACGCACAATCTTAAAATTTAAAAATTCAACCTCAGCGTTGCGACCGTACGCTCCAAAAAAATTCTTACAATTAACAATAATACATTTCTAAAAACATATTTCGGATTACATCTATTCTTTCGTTGTCCTGTTATTACCGAGAAGTAAAAAAACAAAAACAAATCTATTTCCATACCTGATGATGTCTGTATGAACAGATGAAAGCTTGTAAAAATCTAAAAAAAACTAAAAAAAAAGACCTTATGCAACTGGAATTTATAAACAGGGATCATAACATTCATCTACAGGTTCGGGGTTAATGTACTTTATTAAATTTGTTTATGAAGATGTATTCTCGCCGTTTAAATCATTAACTTCTATATCTGTTTTTTGTATGAATGATTCATGTAATATATATATATATATAAATGCAGATGTCAGTGTGTTAGTGTCACACTTTTTCAGCGTAGGCTAACATATCTCTACCATTTTGGAATCAGGCTGACTCCGTGAACAAATTAAAAACATTTTGGGTCGGACTCGGACCCACAGTGATGAAATTTTGGATTCCAAATTTTCATTACTGCGATTGTTTTCGAATCCCGCTATTTTGACTACTACTGATAAAAATAATTAAAGGGACACAACACTCTAACTTTCAATAGTTAATGTTCAAATGAAAAAATTACTGTTCTCAAATTACAGTGTTTAAAAAAATTGTTCGGGTTTTCAACATTACTCCTAGAGGCCGTTGCCCAATAAATCATATCATTTTGGAATCAGGTTGACTCCGTCAGTAAATTAAAACCATTCCGGT